AAAAAAAAAAAAATAACAAGATTGCCTTTACCCAATTTTTTTTTTTGCTGTTTAACATTCAAAACCTTTCCTGAACATTAAATTGAGAAATTTCAAACATATAGTATCTGAGGTTAATTTCAGACAGGACAGTTAGTCCTAAAACAGGTTTTCATTTTGTTGTTGTTGTTGTTGTTGAGACAGAGCTCCCCCCATGCCCTAAGCAGAATGCAATGGCATCATAGCTCACTGCAACCTCAGACTCAGGCTGTGGGCATCCTGCTGCCTCAGCCTCCTGAAGCTGCTGGGGTTACAGGCGCTCACCTCGGTGCCCAGCTGAGTTTTTCCATTTTTGTAGGAGTCAGGTCTCACTCTCATTGAGGCAAGTCTCAAACTCCTGAGCTCAAGCAATTCTCCCTTCTCAGCTTCCCACAATGTTGGGATTACAGGCGTGAGCCACCACGCCCGGCCTAAAACAGGTTATCTCTATCCAGCTTGATCACACCATAAAAGAAATGCCCAACCACCAAATCATAAAGGAGAGTGTCAGCATACACAAGTTTCAAATCTACAGGAAAGTTGAAGAATAGCACAGTGATTCGCCATAGCTTCTTCATCTTGTTTCAGTAATTGATAAAATTTTGCTGTCCAGTATTTGCTTTATCTCTGTGTGTGTATCTGTGTGCACATCGTAATGAAGGGCAAACTTCATTTCAGTAACTTTCAGTTACTTTTTGCTTCTATGTGTTTAAAAACTTTCATATTTCACAGTAAGTGCTATTTTCTTTTTTGTTGTTGTTTTTGTTTGTTTGTTTTTTTGGCCGGGGCTGGGTTTGAACCCGCCACCTCCGGCATATGGGACCAGTGCCCTACCCTTTTGAGCCACAGGTGCCGCCCAGTAAGTGCTCTTTATATAAAGAAGTGTCAAATTTTTTTTCCCCCTAAAATCAAAGTTGTTGAGAGAGGCACAAGCTTCTTACCCATGCCAGACGCTGTCGAGGGGGTCACAGTTGTCCAGGTAATTAAAACGAATGATATCAGTTGGATGCTTATCAGAGGATCTCCAGGGTGGAAGTTCTTTTTTCTCTGCCTTACTCTTCCTTCTTAAAGAGGAATAAGACTGAAAAGCTGACAGAGGAGACTGCTTTTCCTTTGGAGAACTGCTTGTCACTGGCTGAACATCAGCGATTACAAATTCATCTTTGGGAGGTGTCTAGAAGAAGAGAATACATTATTTTCTCAAAGCACTGTATTAATAATAATAAAAACAAAGAATATCATCACCATCACCATCATCATCATTGTCATCATCTTCAGCATCATCACCAATCGTCACCATGGTAACGATAATGGCGATGATGATTACAGCAGCCACCACCTTAGGAGTACTTGCCCTGTGCCTGTCCCTGAGACACGGTCTCAGGCAGTTTCCGTGCATTAGCTTTTTTTAAAAAATTTTTTCAGAGTGCAGTGGCCCAATCATAGCTCACTGTAACCTAGAATTCCTGGGCTCAAGTGATCCTTCTGCCTCAGCCTCATGAATAGCTGGGACTACCAGTGCGCACCAACATGCCTGCATAATTTCTTTAATTTTTCTGTAGAGATACAGTTTCACTATGTTGTCAAGGCTGGTGTCAAACTCCTGGGCTCAAGCTGTCCACACGCCTTGGCCTCCCAAAACGCTGGGATTACCGGCATGAGCCACTGCATCCAGAATGTCTTGTCTTACTGAAGCTTCACATTTCCACCCGATTGGCAGAAGTGGAAACTGAAGATCAGAGAATCTAGTTAATCTGCAGGGCCAGAATTTGAACGCAGGATTGTCTTGCTCCGAGTCCACATGCCTCACCTCCCTCTCCTGTACTGCCACCTCTTCTATCATGTCATTGCTGGGTTCGTTACAACCGCAGTTAATTTATGGATGAATAGTACGAATTCCCAAAAGATATACTTCAGCCCTCTGACCTCTATCACATGGAGACAGTTGAAAAGAAGTAGACGATAACTTTTATCAATTACCAAAACTTCAGCCACTCCCAAGCTGCTATAATTTCCAAAACTGAAAGTCTGTCTTGCGTGTGTGAAATTCATAAAGTTTTTATGTGGTTGTAGCCTGAGGAAAATTGGAATTGGTATGCAGAGAAGTCATTATGGGCTTAATTTTTGTTCATTAACAGATTAGAAAAGCTTTTCTTGGGAAATCAGTTTCCTTATCTTGTTTGTGAAAATCAAGAGATTTCCCCAGTCCCTCTAAGCATCCTCAGTTAGTTTCTCATACTTGTTTCAACTGCTCTTAGTATATAATTCTATTCCAGGATACCACTTAGTGCCCAGTGTGGTGATTATTTGTTTATTTGGCTATGCCTCAAGGCTAATAAACTAGGCTCTGTGAAAGCAAAGTTGGGATCACTGTACTCTCTTAGCACCTAGGAGTGGTTAATACATATTTATTCATTTAATGAATGAGTCTAGCCTAGTAGCAGATTAAACAGACAGTTTATATTTATATAATTGACAGCTCATTATTGGTTTAGTATTAAATATTTGTGCAGGTCTCAGTGAGAATGGACATTCATTTCATTTCTCTGAGCTTATATTGAATTAAATCTGTTTTTGTTGAAGGCTGTCTAGTTTAATACTATGGGGAATAAATAATACAAGATAATAAGAAACAGGCTGGCTGCCATGGCTCACAGCTGTAATCCTAGCACTCTGGGAGGCTAAGGTGGGAGGATCCCTTGAACTCAGGGGTTTGAGACCAGCCTGAGCAAGAGCAAGAACCCATCTCTAATAAACAGAAAAATTAGTCCAGCATTGTGAGGCACTCCTGTAGTCCCAGCTACTTGGGAGGCCAAGGCGGGAGGATCACTTTCCCAAAAAGGCTTCAGGTGATGTGAACAAATATTATGTATGTTTACCTAATGCAGAAAAGTTGTCACAGATTTTTACAGGGGTGACCCACCTTTTTTCTCTGCCACACATTGGAAGAATAAGAGTTGTCCTGGGCCACACATTAAATACACAAACACTAACAAAAGCTGATTAGGCCCGTAGGCTGCAGTTTGGACACCCCTGTAAGAATCACAGGTGTGAGCCTAATTTGTTAATACTTTCAAAGGATTTTGTTTCTATATTCATGAGGGTTATTGGTGTGTAGTTTTGTTTTATTTTTTGTAAAGTTGTTTTCTGGTTTTAGTATAAGGATCAAGAGTTGGAAAGTGTTTGTCCTTCCTCTATTTTCTGAAAGAGGTTATATAGACTAGGTATTATTTCTTCTCTGAATGTGTGAGAGAATTTACCAATCAAGCTATCTGGGTCTGGAGTTTTGTGGAAAGTTTTAAAATTGGAGTTCAATTCAAATTGATACAGCTTTTTTTTTTTTTTTTTTTT